AGCAGGAACTCAGAGCTGTCCCTTCATGCTGGCAGGGATAGGGTTGATGGCACTACCCAAGGTGGTGAGACCCTTTTGTGCCCTTCTCCTCTGTGGCCATGAGTTGTCTGAGCTGCTCTCCACCATCCATGCAGAGCCTGGGCTGGTGGAGCAGCAACACCAGACCTCTAGGCTGAGCCAAAACAGAGGAAGACCTCCCATGGCTAAAACCCCCCTGCAAGCCTGGGTCTAGCAAGGCTCCAGTCTGCCTTGGAGCTGGGGTGGTAACAGACTCCATGGCCAGGACATGCTGGCTCAGAGGGCTTTCTGGAGACTTGGGGAACCCCAAATATCTCTGCAGCCCCATGGAGACGTGGATTCACCCCAGCTGCAGACTCCTGTTTTTTGCTCTGTGGTTCATCTTTGTCCTGCAGGCAATAGGCCAGACCTGAGCAACCCTCAATTACTGCCTCAGCAGGCCAGCAAAACAGCTACAGGTTGATTTTCTCCTGACCCAGGTCTCCCAGGACTTGTGCTTGTAGGGGACAGTCGGCTCAGCAAGGCAAGACCAGAGGAGGATGGCACCTATCCAGACTGCCCCCAACACAGGGCAAGGTGCTGCGCGTAGGGGATGCCATCTGTCACCTCCATTCTCCCCACACGCAGCCTCAGAGATGTCCCGCGTGGTCCGTACGTCCATGGGGGCAGCAGGGAGCAGGCTGTGGGGCGCAGTGTCAGGCACACTTGCCCTTGCGAAGGCAGAAGGGCAGCTCCGGCACGGGGACCAGGATGGTGCTGAAGATGGGCCGGTAGCTGTCGGGCAGGACCTGGGGGTGCTGCGCCATCATCTCCAGCACCATGTGCCGCACCTCCTTGGAGACGTCACCCCGGAGATCCAGCAAGGTGGAGATGTGCTCATCGCTGGGCAGAGACCAAGAGGTGAGTCTGGGCGCTGCTGGCCCATGGCACCATCCACAGCGCTCGTGTCCCACAGACCTCCCATGATCAAGCTGAGCAGAGGCCAGGAGAGAGCTGGTACTTTGCACCAGCCAAACTTTAAACTCTGCTTGAAAACAACCCCACAAACCTCATGAATTTGGTTTTGAGATTTTATGGGTTTTGGCCAATTCTAATATTTCCAATTTGGTGTTTTGTGATTTCTCACACTTTGTTTGGCTACCAAATACAGCTGAATGAATGCCACAGCAGAACTGCGTTTGCCCTTGGGACTTTGCAAGAACCCCTCAAATCTGGAGCATGGGAAAAGGAAACCTCAGGGAGAAGGGGGAAAAAAGCTCAGGTTTCTGCCTGCTCTGCAGCATAACCTCACGGGGTCCAGCCCAAGCCTGGCTCCCCCAGGCAGACTCACTCCTGCTCCATCTCGCAGGAGAGCAGAGCTGGGCTTCTTACCTGACGTCGGGATACTTGGTGATGAAGCCCAGCACCTCCAGGCTGAGTAGTGTTGGGTCTTTGAGGGAGATCAGCTCCCGCAGGGCAAACACGGCCTCCAGGCTCTGCTGGCTCTGGTCAAGACCCTGGGAAGGAGAGCGGCCACATGCAAGACCAGGAGGAGGCCACTGAAGTGGCTGGTGAGCTGCAGCCCTGTCCTCAGTGCCCACATGGGGACCTAGCCCCTTGCAGCTGGTGTGTCCCCACTCAGTGTGTCCCACTGATCGGGGCTGGCTCACCCAAGGCGAGCTGAGGCTGTGCAGCCTCACCAATCTGTGCTGGGCAGGGTGGATGGTCCCCAAGTCCCTAATCCAGCCACTTCCTCCCGTCTTGGCCTCATAACTGCCCTGTCTTGTTAATGGGCTGATGTACCCACCCCATCTGCTGTGGGCTGGAGGGGAGCAGAATGGTGATGGAGGTGAGCTATGAGCTCCTCGCACCAACCTCGCTGTGTGATGCTCCCCTCCCATGGCCCAGCCCCGGCTCCCTGCCGCACCCAGGCACCTCTCACCAGGCCACAGAAGAGCTCCCGAAGCTGCGTGGCATCCTGCAGCAGGCGGTCGCAGAGCTGGCCCCGCTCCTCCTTGTTCTTGCACACCATCTTCTTCTGCATGAGTGCCCGCAGGTACTGGCTTGCCACCAGCAGCTCAGTCTCCGTCAGCAGGAGCTGGGCAGGGGAGAGCTGTTAGCACCTGGCATTGCCTGGGTATTGTACCCCAATTGCCCAGGGCAAGGCACAGGGAAAAGCAGCTGGATACAACACCGAGCCATGGGGAAAACCTGCTGGGAAGACCCCTGGCTGGAGGGACAGAGAAGGTAGCTGAATTTGGGAGAAACCCTGAGAATCTCTGCATGATGGTGTCATCGGGGCTGCCATGAGGATACGGGCTCTCCGGCAAACCCAGCAGCAATTGCCTCCCCTGCATCCTGCACCCCAGCATGGCACTCAATGGCCCAATCTCCTTACCCTACAGACAACAGCCATTCGAAGGACAACCCGCAGCAACCCTACCGTGAAGATGGGTTTCCTGACACGGGAGAAGTCCTTTGCATACTTGTCAATCACTTCGCACATGCTGCTGACGAGCTGGGACCCGGAGAGCCACTTGCGGGAAGGCAGCTGCAGGCAGAGGGGCTGAAAGAAGCAGAGGAGCAGCGTACAGTGCGCTGCATCGCACGGCTCCCGCAGCAGCTGCTGGCTGCGTGACATCCCACAGCCACTGCATGCCTGCTTGCCTGGCAGCATGTCTGCTTTGCCTTGCAAAAACCCCCGAGCCCCTGTTGCCAGCCAAAAGTCAACATAAAAATAGCAGAGTGGTCTAAATTAGGAAATTATGGAAATACCCTGGGGCTGCTCCTCCCTGACACCCAGAGACCCACATTTGAGGGCTTTATCTGGGTCATGATGCCCCATCGCGGGCAACACCTGAGATCCGGGAAGCCAGCTGCTCCTCACATGCTTGCTTTTGGCCTGTCCTAGTATGATTTCATTTTAATTTCCACTCTTCTACACTTCCCTTGTGTAGCATAACATGTTTTTGGCCGAGGGCTTTGATCTCTTCCCCCTGCCCTGCTGTCCTTGCCTGTCTTCTTGCCTGCAGGCAAACATTCCCTCTATGCCTCTGCTGGGGCCAGGGCAGTCTCCAAGCTGCCTGCGAGTGTTTCACCCTTTAGCTGCTCCTTTGTTTTCATGGCATTCAAGCCCTAAATAGCAATACCATTCATTATTCCAGATTTTTGGTCCAGACTCCAGGAAAGCTAAATTTGACTCTGCTGGCAGGAAACTACTCAGGCAGTCACACATGGGCCTGTATCCTCCACACGGATGTTGCCTCTCTCCTGTTGGTTTTCTGCTGTGAAACAGCCATAAAAAGGAGCACGAGGCAGCCCGGGGTGGGGGCTGTGGCTCCTGGTCTCTGTCGGTTAGTGGTTTGGGGGCCACGAGCCATCTGCCCTAGCGATACAGGGCGGTGCTGGCTGGCAACAGGGATCGGGCAAGCTGCGGGTGGTTTATCAAGATCTGGGAGCCAGGCTGGCAAAGATGTCTGCATGATGATAGGAGGCCACGGGGTATGCAGCGGGGATCCTGGGCGGGAATAAACCCGTTCCTGGGGGTGTAGCAGTAGGGCTGTTCTTGCTGGGGCTGGCTTGGTTGCAGCCCTGCTGCCTGCAGGGGCTGGGGACAAACGTACCTGCAGGTCCAGGAGCAGCTCCTCCAGCAGCAGCTGGCAGGCTTTCTTCTGTGTCCTGTCTAGAGCAGCCCGGAGGGATGCAGGGACTTCTCTGCGGGGAGTGTCGGGGTGCAGGGAAGAGACAGAGGAGCTAGAAGAGAGAGAAGGGAGGGAACAGGTAGCCTGGAAAGCATGGTGGGGACTTACTGTGAAGATGGTGAGGCACAGGAACAGGTTGCCCAGAGAAGCTGTGGCTGCCCCCTCCCTGGAAGTGTTCAAGGCCAGGTTGGATGGGGCTTGGAGCAACCTGGTCCACTGGAAGGTGTCCCTGCCCATGGCAGGGGGATTGGAACTGGATGATCTTCAAGGTCCCTTCCAACGCAAACCATTCCGTGATTCTATGATTCTATGACACTGGGCCCCCGGGGGATAGGAAGGATGTGGCTTCCTTGTGGGTAGTGGGGTTGCTACAAGAGCTACAGGGTGCTGGTGCATGTTACCTGAGAGCCAGGTTGTTGTTGAGCAT